CCGCAGGACACTGGCGGGACACCGCAAGACATCGGCGGGGCACCATGGGCCTTCAGCCGCCCAGAAAGGAGTCATTTGGGCCGACCGCGCCGCAACCACACGGGACACCACCGGGACATGGGCGGGACACCGCAGGCCCTGGAGTCATTTGGTCCGGCCGCGCCTCCGTCACAAGAGACTTTTTCTCGCCCGCCTACGCAACTTCGCCTCGCCCGCACGGCACGCACGAACAGGAAACCGAAACCGATTTCCCGGTAGGGGGGCTCTCCGTTCCATTTCGATCTTACCCTATATATATGTGTGTGTATGTATGTATGTATGTATCATACGGGTGCCGCAATGAGCGTTGCAAGTAATTGTACGCTTTATCACTATATGTCCCAATTTTGCGGTCGAACATGGAGGGTGAGATAAATATTGTAGGTGTTGATGTAATCATACTTCTGGTTCTTAACGGATATGTTGCGCACGACCGTTGGCAGCGGAAGGTCACGACGAATTTTTGGCAATACTAGCGATTTTGTAAAGAAAAGACATTCCCAAATTCTCCCTTATGCGGACGAGTTTTTAAAGGCCGGCCTCCCATGAATTTTCATGTGATCCGAAATGTCGTGCTTAACGATGGCCTTCGTCCTCGAAACAGATGTTCACACAAGCGCGGGATATCATACCGGTTTCACCCAATGAGGGTCGTTTGCCCTGTGGCCCGGTGGACGAGATTAACTAATCGCACAGTCCGTCCTCATGTTCCTCCTCCTTTTCCCCCTCCTCCTCCTGCTCCTCCCTCTCCAAATCGTCCTCTTCCTTTCGGCTTGCTTAACCGGCTTACTGTCTCACCTCACTCTCGTTGCGCTGCCGGTCGCATATATTTGAGGCGCCCCCCCTCAAAAATCATATGAACATCCGTATGGCACTGTATCGTTATTCTGCGATGGTACATTATAGGAAAAACCAACCACGGGCAAATACACAAAACGCAAGCGGACGACTGCAGAACAAAACGGAAATTGAGAACAATAATATGTACCATGATGTTGCGGCCATCCTACTTCGGTTGCATGTGCGGTAAAGTCGTCAAATCTTTTGAATAATAATTTGCGTAACGAGAAACATATTTTTTTTCGCAAGATTGAGTACAACCTCCGCTTCTCTGTTTCCGTCGACCCATGTGCCTTCCGGCTCGCCTCCGTCCAAAAGGTGCGCCAATTCCGATGCTGAATACGATTGCGACGATATTTGGTAAGGTTGTTCTCTTTGCCTTCCACTAGGTCACTAGGTAGGACTTTCGCCGACATTTGCAGGACAGTCCTGCCCCGCCCAAGGACATTGAAGCGGCAATGAAGGCGTTCCTCAAGCCGGCCTTGCCAAAATCAAGGTCCAGGGCCCACTCCCAGCCTCGACTTCGCAGCATCCCACGCTTAGCGACACGGGTCGCCTGCCGCAAGGCTTCCTTGAAGAGCTCCTCTACCATCCACCTGCCGTGGCACGCGAGATGGGGATAGCCGTGGTCGGCTCAGTATTGCCTCAGCTCGTGTGGGAGAAGCTGCAGCCTGGCAGGGGCGCCCGATTGGGGCTAAGCATCGTTCTCTCAAGCCGTGGCAGAGGCAGCTCATTCGCACCCGCGGCAACACCATCATGTGGCATCCCGCGGGCTCTGCTTCCGCTACCGGGGACATGCCGCGGTTGGGGAGAATGGAGAGCTCGACGCGACCATGAAGGGCCTCGACACCCACTGGAAGCGGTTGGGCCGCAGCGGCTCGCCTCGCGCGCCCTCCAAGGGCAGCCAGGCCAGCGGCAGTGGTCGCTCGCAGTCGCAGGCGCCCCTGCGTACGGACCGCCGACCCTGAACGAGACGACGGCCAAGGTCCAGATTCCGACGCCGACGACCCCGCCCATGGGGAGGCCGTGCTCAGCGCCTACTTGAGGAGAGGCCACTTGCAGCGGGTCCGACGAGGCCGATGCCCTGCAATGCGTCGCCTCGGGTTTCGACGAAGAGGTCAGTACCGTTCTGGAGCGCTTCGCGCGCTATGCGACCTAATTGGCGGGTAACTCGCCGAAGCGGACAGGCGCGCGCGCGCTCCATGCATGCCGACCAGCGGCGGGAGCAGTTATCCAAGATGCAGGCGGCCCCAGCAGGCCACAGTGCCGGCCCTGCGCCCGGCCGCCGCCGGCTTGCTGCAACTGGAGCTGTGGCCGCCAGCCCCGCAGTCCGCGGAAGGCACGCGTCTGGCGGGCGTGCCCTCGCTGGTGGCTCCGCCGGCACCCGCCCCACCGGCGCTGCCGGCGGACCGACCTGCCGGCCTCGCCCCCCCCCCCATGGGCATGCGGCATGCGGTTCGGAGTGTCGAGGTCGGCCCCAGGCATGCTCCCCAGTGTCACCAACGTCGACGCTAGCCTCTTCGTCAACCGAAGCAGCTACGCAGACTCCGGGCTGGTCCAGATCCCTGGGCAGCCGGATCGCCGGGGAGCACTGGGAGCGGCCGACGATCCCTCCGCGGTGCAGGCTTGCACCCAGGCGCTCCAGGCCGGCCGGGCACAGCAGCACCAGGACCACAAGCAGCTTCTGCACGAGATTCAGGAGGGGCTCGCCCAGAGGGACGACGTGAAGGTCGCGCAGCTCTGCGCGCTGGCCGCCATCAGGAAGGCCGAGGACTTGGACGTGTTTCTGACGAGAGGGTGCGATACGACGCAGGTAGAGATCTGCGCAGGCCTTCTAGGCCGCGAATTGTTTCATGGCCTCCGACGTGCATGCAAAGGCAGCAAGCAGTACCGTGATGTCGCGATCTGCCCGAGGGATGCGCCCGATTTTCAGAATGTTGAGAAAACCCTGAGCGAAACGTCCAAAAACAGACGCGCGATTTCAGTTCACCGCCTCTGAGCTCTACTCGCCTATGAACTCTACACAATTGAATTACCGCGGCTTCAGTTCATGACCATGCATGCATGCATACATGCATGTATGTATGTATGTAGGCAAGCAGACAGGCAGACAGGCCTGCGTGCATGTGTACACATGCATGTGTATGTATGCATGCATGCATGTATGTGTATGAGCGCCTATTATGTGTGTATGCATGCATATGTGTATGTATGCATGTGTGCAGGTGTGTACACACGTACGCACGTTTGTACGCACATGCGCACGTACGTACGTACATACGTGCGTATGTATGTTTGTTTGTTTGTATGTATGTATGTATGTATGTATGTATGTATGTATGTTGGTACGTATGTGTGCATGTGTGCATGTATGTATGCACGTATGTCTTTATGCATGTATGACTATATGTATGTATGTATCTCTGTATGTATGTATGCATATATGTATGAACGAACGTATGCATGCAATCATGTATGTATGTATGTATGTATGTATGTATGTCTATATGCATGTATGTGTGTAGGTATGGATGTCTGTATGTGCGTAAGTATGTGTGTATGTATGTATGCATATATATATGCAATATGTTTATATATGTATAGAAGGTTATCTGTACAGAAAGTCGCGGATGGTGATAACAATGATCGGGGACGCTCCCACGAGTGAGGAAAGATGAGGGAGGGACGATGAGAGCGGAAGAGGGAGGGGGCGAGAAGAGGCGGGAGAAGGGAGGAAACAAAGGGGAAGGCGAGAGCAGGAGGAAACCATGGAAGATAGGGAAAGAGAAACGCCACGGCGGATGCACGATCAGAGCCACCGCTTTCTAAGCGCCCGCGCTTAGCACGCCCGTGACCGGCGACGGCGAGCCCCGGGAAGTGAAAGCTGATACTCACACTATGAGACAGGAGTCCGGGCAGCCGCTTTCTCTGGAAAGCACTTCCGAAATGACTCCCAACAGAATTGCCTACGTGTGCGGCTCTCCTCCCACACGCACGAGTGGCCCTAAGCAAGAGTTCTGGACGAAGAAAACCATTCCCACCCCCACCAGGGAAACCTTGGCCCCGCTTTGCAATCTACCCGCCCCAGGTGGGGATGGGTGCCGTCTCCTTTGGGTTTCGGAGCACCCATCCCCACCTCGAAGGGGTACGCTGGGAGAGCCACGTTATGCTGCCCTGGCAAGAGAGCCCAGAATCGAATCGATAAATTGGATCGGCGATCGAAACTCATCGGATCGGCAAGAATCGGCAACCGAGTCGGGAGAAGTCGAGTCGGCGGAAACCGGCAGGCCAATAGGCCTCCACTGAGAAATCGGAAACCAGATCGGAATCCTAAGTCGAATCGAATCGAAATCGGAAGCCATCGAAATCAAATCAAACCGAATCGGAGGAGTCGAAACGAGCCCTGTGGTGGGTGCGGGGATGGCTCCGACGATGATGAAGAGTCACCTCTGGTGCGCGGCTTGCCGCCGCCCCAAAGCTGACCACCAGAGCTCGCTCTGGCGACAAGCCGCCTGGCTTCTGGGCCGGGCCATATAAGACGAGGCCAGGACGAGGATCAATTCGGGTAAGGATAAGTCGAATCCCTGAGATCCCGCGGCTCTGGAGAATGTCTCGGGCGCCGCGGCCTTCTCAGAGCGTTCTGGGACGCTCTGGACCGAATTCATCCTCGTCCTAGTCCTGTCCGACTATAACTTGGCCCTCCGGCGGCCGTTCGGGAAGATCCAGGCACCCCGGAACGCCCTCGCCAAGGCGCAGCAACTGGAACGCGTGCCGGACATGGAAAACTACCGAGAACCGACGATCGCATCCGAAAACCTCTAACCACCTCGGCTCTGCCGAAGCTGAGCACTCGAGTTCACTCCAGCGAAAGGCCACCCTCACGTGCACCTTGGGTGAGCCTTGATGGGAACCTCTGTGACCTCCGCGGCCCTACCATAAACATGATTTCGACGGGATTTCGTCCCGATTTCGACCACCTTCTGCACCCTTTCGTCCGAATGTCGACCAAATACGACTACATCCAGACGAGATCCCCCAAACCGCAAAGAAGTTTGGGACCCTCTGAAGCTCCCATGAAGGTCCACCCTCACGTGCACCCGACGCTGGCTCACGGAGGGCGGTCAGGCGCCTTCCGCCACGGCAGCGTTGCCTGCGGCGCCGGCCTTCTTCGGCGGCGGCTCCCCGCCCTCGGACGCGGGCCGCTTCTTGCCGCCCTTCAAGGCCTTTCGGGCGCTCGGTGGCGGGGGGCGGCAATCCACCCAGGGTGGGGGGATCGAGGGGCCCTGCGGCAAGTTCGTGTCGTGCCGAGTTCGGGGTTGGTTCCTGACACCGCGGGCATCGTTCAACATTGTTCAACCTCGAACGATCGGCCGCTTCCGAGACGTCACATCGTTCGACATTGACCGCTTCTGGGTCGCTGGCGGGGATCAACTTTGAACATCGGCGGCGGGTCGCCGCCAGTCGACGCGACGCGAACCCATCGTAAAGGGGCCCCAGATGGCCGCTGAACTGCCGTCGCGGGTCCCAAAGACACGTTTCCCTCCGCTCCCGTTTGCTGCCCCCTCGTTGGCGAATGCCCGACCTTCTGCGAAGGCTGCTTCTTCGGCTGGCTGCGGGGGTCCCGGTCTCCCAGGGGCCACCGCGGCCGGATCTCGACGGCGTTGTCCACCCCGTCCACGGAGGGAGGCTCCTCCGGAGGGAAAGGTCAGGCACGGATCGCGCATGAAATAGGAAAGCTGCGCGAGTACGTTCAATATCATCAAGATCACGTGCACGGTCGTCGTACTACAGCTGGACCAGAGACAGAAGAACATCCTTCAAGAACATGAGACCCTCCACAGGGACAGACGAACCATCCTTCATGGTACCCTTCCCCAGGACGCACAAGAACATACAACGAATACGAAGAACACCATGGTGCCCTCCCCGAACCGACCTCGATCTTATGCCTCGGGCCGACCGCGCCAGGAGGAACGCTGAATGAAGAACGAAAGGGATCTTCTTGCCAGGCCGAGCCTCGACCACGATTCGGCTCCCCGACCTGGGCCTAAGGAACAGCCCGAAAACCAGAGCCCCCCTGAAGCCAAAATGGTCTTTATTTCCGCATCTTGACTCACAGGAGGCACCTCTATGAAAACTGATCAGGAAAATAACGGGAGAGGCCTGTGCAGCCCATGTCCAGACTTGCTTCGGGCGGGACGCCATCGTCTTGGGTGCCGCCCGAGGTCCTCTTGGGCCATCATGGCGGCCTCTTGGCGCCTCCTTCGGCCGTCTTGGCTTCACGAGGCCCGAAAAATCGCAAGAGCAGCCCAACCGTGAAACAGCAATCAACGTTTCTCGCTCCTCGACGGCGCCTCCCATCACCTGGAGCCCTCCCCTCATTCATCCTCCTGCTATGTATACTTATGCATGCACATACACGTGGAAATGTTCGTAAACATGCACATATATGTACATCTATATACATCATACATACATACATACAGACAGACAGACAGACAGACAGACAGACAGAGACATACGTGTGTCTCTGGGCCCAAGAAAAAAGTCCAGCGCACTTCCCGCCATCCGCCCCCGCGCTTTGTGCACGCTGGGGCGCGTTAGAATGCTTGCTAGCTCTGGTAATGTTTATGACTGCTCTCTGGGGGTGACCTCTCCCCTCGGCGCCATGGGTGCAAGCGAATTCCTATGAAAATCCCCTTGACATTCGCCGGTGTTGCCCCAAGAGAGCTTCAAGACGACCAGACGGTTCCCAGACCAGCCTATAAAAGACCCAATGCCCCTCAGATGCTACCAAATGTCCCCTGGTAAACGCCGAAATGCTATAATACCACCCTCGGAGCCGCCGAAACCCCGACACATTTCCAACGAGGCCCTAACAGTTCCCGAAACATTAAAGCCACAACCAATTTGGAGCTGTTGCTTCCGATACTTTTCGCCTTCGGATGGCCTCGGGAGAATTTGCCACGAAAGCCCCGGGCACGGCCCAAAGAAGGCCCAATGGCCTTCAAAACTGGCCCAAGACCGCCCCAAGAATGTCCCACGGCGCCCAGATCGTCCCACCGACCCACCGAGCCCATTCGGGTGAGCTCGGGAGACCTATCGCACCCATGACGTTCCCAAGAGCCCCACTCACCTCCGAAGATGCCCTAAGAAGCCCCCAAAAGGGCCTTCACTACCCCCCAAAACGCGACACAACAACCATGCATGTTACTGCTGCGTCATGCTACAATACCGTACATAGTACCGCCTCTTAGACGACCCCAACATTTGGCTCTACCGACTCTGTTCGGACACATCGGTAGAACAACTCTGCATGCACTGCGATGCTGCGCTGGCACATTGGCGGCGCTTGCCGCAGGCAGCTGGGATGCCGTAAGGCTCCAAACTTCGCACTTCGTGCTGCGCGAAGCGCAATGGCCTCCCGCCTGGGGGAAGAGCGCCCCTCCGGCACAGGCCGCAACGCACGAAACGCGGTCACCTTCGCGCCCCTGCGGGCGACCTATACTACACGTGGCCACCGCCACCACCACTGCGACGACGCAAGCCCGCTCCGTGGCCTAGTCCAACTGAAGCCGATCTCGAAGGAGACCTGCGCCCAGATCTGGCATGTGGTTGCTTCGGGTACCTTCTCAGACCTCCGACGTGGATCTCAACCCCCACCCTCTGGAATCCTCGTATATATATGTAAACACGAACCGTTCCTTGCTGACAAGTCCCGGGGCCCAGAATCAGCCCCAAGAGGCCGAAATGGCGAGAACGTGGGCCGTGATTGATTTCGTCATGGCGCGCCCACCAGATGGTCGAGTCGTAGGCGCAGAGGATGGCCCAAACAACGGCGTGCATGTAGTGGTTCCGTTTCATCATCATCTCTCCTTTTCCTCTCACTTTTGCGGTCTACGTTCGATGCTGCGCCTTGAACTTTTTAGCCTTGCCTGCGTTCTCGCTTTGGATGCAAGGCCCCAGTCAATCAATATCAATATCAATCAGGCTGGGGGTCAAGGTCTCTCCCTCTTCCGAGGAGGAGGGGGAGGCGGGGAGGGGCAGGGAGGAGTGCTCATAAGAAGGATCCTCGTAGAGCCCGAGTCTCAGCCTCTCGACACCAGCCCAGGCGACCATGACCCCGTTGTCGACGCACAACCGCGGGGGCGGGCACTGCATCTCCAGCCCGGCCTGCTCCGCGACCTCGCGCCGAGGGAAGAATGATGGAGTCTGGAGCCTTCCACTCGGGTGCCAGGGTCGCGGATTACGAAGCAGGAGGGGGCCCAAGAGGATCCCCCAAGGCGACGTTTAGGCTTTCGACTGCGAGGCCGTAATGAGTCAGCCACCGTTTTGATCGACCGCCTACACAATGGCCCCAGAGGGCCCTCGAGGCCTCCAAGGGAACCCCAAAAGCCTCCAACATGCCCCCCCAAAACCTACTACCCAAGATGCTCCCACATCGACAGAGCCGCCAAGGCATGTATGGTTGACTCGTGGGCCTGCTCAGGCTGATCCCAATCTTCGGTTTGACGGCTGCCCGCCTCTTTGTTCAACTGCGTGCTCCCACCCTTCCCTGATCAGTACAACTCTCCTGCGCATCTTGTTGCGTGGGCTAGCGGGGAAACTCGACGCGTCGAGGCCTTGTTTTGACGTTGGATGGCGTCAAGCCTCAGCTCCCTGAAAGCAGGGGCCGTGGAGCGAGGAGAGACCGACGAGGACACGAGGAGCGGAACGAAGCGAAGGCCCGTAAGGCGGAAGGGGCCCAACGAGACGCCTAGCACGGCCGCGAGAAGCTCGCGGGGACAAGCCGGCAGGCTAAGAGCATGGACGGCACAAGCTGCAGTATACACCAATTGAATGATGGTGGGGCCTGGGATGAAAGGAACAATTGCGGCATGAGCGTAAGCTTTCGCAGGTCCGCGGAGAGTTCCTGGATCGGCGCTGGACCCTCCCTGGCGCGCGGGACGCGCAAGGGGCGGCACAAGAGGCGCTGCCAAGGGGGCGCAAGGGTGGCACAGGAGGCGCCGCCAGGATGGCGCCGCCAAGGAGGCGACGTCATCACGCCAAGAGAAAGAGGAGATCAAGGCTGGGTCGCGTGGGTTGCGAGGAGGGGTCGTGGAGGCGAGGGGGGAGAGACGAGTAGGAGCGAGAAGGCGGGAGCCGACCGCAGACGGGGCCCTCCCGCTCGGGATCCCAGAACCCCCTGAGGCGCACGCTCGGGCTCCCAAACAATCCCCTGGAACCCCCTGCCAGCTCGGGACACTCCCAAGACCGCTCGAATTCCGCCAACCTTTAATCATCGTCGTCCTCCTCGTCCTCGTCCTCGTCCTCGTCCTCCTTCTCCTCCTCCTCCTCCTACTCCTCCCTGCCTTTTCTTCATCAATATTTCCCCCCTCTATCGCAACTTTGGGCGTGTCGTGATGGCGGTCCGGGCGTTTCGCCTGAAGCTTCCTCGCTCTTCACTGTCGTGAACCTCTGAATCCCTACCAACTACATTAATGGAGTGCGCGTCGTCTCAAATGTTTCAGCATGGGGCTGTCGCTTTGGCGCCGCGCACGCTTGACTCGATAATTTCGAGCAGTTACGCGGATTGTGGTACATCGATTTCATCGGTCTCTCTCGCCTTGGCGCCACGCATACTCGTCTTGAACATTTCCGACAGCCACGCGGATGGAGGGCGGTTAGTCTTCACCATTAGGCTCTCCCTTCAGACATCTTCAATATCTATCACCACACGTTTCAAGTATGCAACAGATACACGGATTGAGGGAGGTTCCTTTCTAACATCGGGTCTTCGCTTGAGACTTCCTCTACATTTGCTATCACAAATTTAAATGTGCAGCGGTTACATGGCTAGCGGGTGGTCTCTGTTGAAAGCGGGGTTGCCACCGTGCCACTTTCATGAACTTTGTGGCCCCACATTGTCGGTTTCCCTGTAGCTGGACGTATGCAATCAAATTTTCTCCAAATAGGCGTGCCTGTCGGAATTGTAGCTCAATCCATCGAGAACTGGCCCACCAATCCGACCCCATATTTTGCCTCAAACTATTGCAATGGCTGCCTCTGCTATTGCAAGTGCTTCTTGGCCATTACAATGGCGTCCAAAGAATTGCCAAATGATCGTTACACTCAGACGTAGAGTAGAGTTGAGCATAGTCGGGGTAGACTGGAGCAGAGCCACACATAATAGGAATGTAGCAGAGCAGTAATAGAGTAGAGCGGAATATAGTATGATAGATGTTAAAGTCGAGTCGGGTATAATCCCGCCAACCCTCCGCGCGTAGGTGGTCTAACGATGTCTTTCCTCTTCCAAAGCCCTCTTCCCTTCGAGGAGGGGTACCCTCCCCCTCCCCTCCATGACATCTGTGTGTGTATATGTATATATATATATACTAGAACCATCGCGCGCGCTTCGCGCGCGCTCAGGTTCTAGCAGGCCCCAGGCCTTGACGAATTCACTGCTCCACTGAAGTAGTGGACCACAGCGCACGCATGCCAATCTGCATTCCGAAAGGCCTTCGAGGAAAATGGTTATGTAGGGGGGCGGAGGCCGTATGAATCGGGTTCCCAGAAGGCTTTCTGGTAGCATGGGTTTGGGGGCGTCTTGGGGAGCCTGTTGGGGCGTGCCGTCGCCGCCGTAGTAGCGTCGTCGTCGTCGTAATGCCGTCGTCGACTATTGGGGCGCGCAGTCGTCGTCGTCGTCGTCGTCGTCGTCGTCGTCGTCGTCGTCGTCGTCGTCGTCGTCGTCGTCGTCGTCGTCGTCGTCGTGTCGTTTCGTCGTCGTCGTCGTTGGTTCGAGAGGGCACTTTGGGCAACTTTGTGCGAAACGATCTGCGGAGGGCCGCGCGAAGGCGGTCAGTCATGTTCCCAATCAACTTCCCAGACAGCTCTCCTGTAGCATGATGATGCTTCGAAGCCTCCGGAAATTCGCGGGCCCATGATGAACCATGTCCCCGGGAGGCTTGCTGGGGACATGGTTTGTTGGGGTGTTGGGGGGTCTCTTGGAGGTTCCCTGGGGGCCCCTTGGGGGCCTCCGGGAACTCTCGGGCCCATGATGAACCATGTCCCCGGAAGGTTTTCTGGGGACATGATTTCTTGGGGTGTGTTCGGGGACCTTTTGGGCGTTCCATGGGAGCCCCCTGGGGGTCTCTTGGGGCTTCCTGGGGGCATATTGGGCGCCTCACGGGGCTTCGTTGGAGCCTCTTGCCTCTTGGTGGCTTCCGGGGACCTACAGGCGGCCTCTAGGGCCAGAGACCTCGAAGTTTGAAGGGGGCTGGAAGGCCTCGCCAGCAGCTTCGCCTCAGGCGAAGCCAAGCTCCAGCTCGGTTGTATCGTAGTAGCGATAGTCCCAATGCAAGAGGGGAAGCCATGTCAAATAAAAGGGGATGCCTTTTAGTATCGATAGCGATAGTGTGCCTCGCGATGAAGCGCAATCAAATCTAGGCGGCCGGCCGTTTGAACCAAGACGGCCGCGGGCGCACGCTCGCTTCCGCTCCTTACGTCCCTCAGCTCACTTTAGAATCGGGGGGGAGGGAGACGAAGCGTGCGTCCGCCACCCATGCGGCGAGAGCAATTCAGCAGCTAACCTATGCGAAAACAGGAAAGGAAACGGACCCAAAGGAGTTGGACCCGTCAGCGAGTTGCCTCGCGAATGTAGGGCAAACGCATGAGGCGGCGTCAGAACTTGATGTCTGGCCAGCCCGATATGGTCATGTTTGAAGGTCTGTATACCTCCCATGACTTGTAGGAACATTTCTCTGTCGATGCTCCCTCTCGTGTGTCCATCCGCAGTCATATCGCGGGTATCACACCACTGAATGCTATGCACGATTCCGCGCTCCATCATCTGTCGTATCCAACTTATGTGTCCTAAAAGGATACACTCAGTCGGCTTCTTCATGTCTTTGCTTGACAGGGACTTAAAGACAGACTCAGCAACGATGGTCAGAGTGACCTTGATGCACAGGCCACCCAACTCAAGTATGTCTTTCAACTGAGTGGGTGTGAGTGGCCCCGCATGGAGCTCGTGCAGGGTCGCAATCGTGGGATAACAGTCCTCCGAATTATGGGCTGCTGCAAGTGTCTCTGCTGAGTAGCTTGAGCGGACTTGCAAGCGGTGGGACTTGCAGTGCGCATCACTCAAGTGAACGACAGGCTTGCCAGATGACGTGTTTCCACGTCGTAGCAGGTTTGCCCCGCGGATGCCATAGCCTTTGGCGTCGTCATCGGCGTCTCCACTCAGGCGTCGATAGCCTGAGTCGCTATCTAAGTCGACCTCGCCCGTGGGGTTCATCGCCTGGTAGACGATCTTCTTCGGGCAGGCCTGCAACTTTCTGGTGATCGCGCTGAATCGTCGCACTTGAATATTGGTCGGTTCTTGGACACGCTGGAGGGATACAACATAGACCATCAACCAGACCTGGGTGATCAATGCGTATGCCAGCGCACCTCTCAGGCTGACGAACATATCTGCCACCATCTTGGTTGCTTGAGCGTCAGCGTCCGCGCCGGTCAATTCAGGATGTTGTATAGGACGGAGCTGTTTAATGTATTCATCTTGATCCAAAGTGACATTGCCGTCCTCATCCTTGGTGTACCTCACAGCACACTTCGTATGTGTGTGCTTCTTGAGTTTACACTTGCCAAAAGTATCCTCGACGCATTTGACATACTTGCCAATGGTGTCCCCAGTGCCGGCCATGCTAATGTCATCAACATGTTTGGCCGTAAGCAAGTTAGTGCTCGTCTCGAACTCCTCGTCATAAGACGTAGGTCGGAGGCCAAATCCGCTGGTGGTTCTCCTGAACTTAAAAGAGAAACCCGTGGGGCGCCCTTAGTGCCTGTGCCCGGTTTCAAGAACTGCAGGCAGTGCTCTGACGCGTCGTAGTTCTCAAGCCCTGGAAGAGCACGGAGCGCAATTGCCGACCAAGAGGCGCCCAGGAGGCCCCTAGAGGCCCCAACGGGCGCCCAAAAGGCCTCCAAGAGGCCCCCAAGAGACCCCCCAATGGCCCCAAGAAGCTTTCCGAGGCACCCAAGACGCTCTGACAGGCGTTTGGGACCGCCAAAAGGCCCCCAAGACGCTCCAAGAGGCCTCCACTGGGGGGCCCTTCCTCTGTTTGCTGCCCACTTCCCTGATCGAGGCAATTCCTCTGGGCATCGTTTCTGAATGGGCTGGTGGGGTTACCTTTTCCGGTCGCGTCCGC